GACGGAACTGGCGTTTTCATAACCGACGGGATAGACATCGGACTAGTTTTCCCAGCCCAATATGTACTACGATCGTTCACTCCAAAGCCCTTCTATTCTACAACCGAGTTTCAATCTTCCAGGACCCGGTTCGTCGGTCTTCGCCCCCGTTTAATCGATCGAAACCCGGATGGCCCGTTTGCAGAAGTCGTGCAACTTCTTACCGATTATCGGCGGTGTACATACATATACAGGGTGGGCTACAAAACGTGATCAGTCTTAAATTATTCTACCGCTATAGACAGTAATGTTAATAAACAGTAATATCAAAGATCAGACAGCACGTAGCAAAAAAGTTTGAATTTTTTTTTCATTTAGAATTTAAAAGATAAAAAAATATTTGTTAAAGCGCTTGCCGAATTCGTCTCTGTATCCGCTAAAAGACGGGCGTAAAAAAAATTACAGGTTTATCTATAAAAAGGTGAAGATGACTTTGAGAAGTCTGAAAAAAAGGGTTCAAAAAACGTTGGTACAATCATCTTAGAGCACTCGTTTAATCGTGTTATACTAGCCAAAGAAATGTTCGACCAAACGGCTAGCGGTATAATAATCTAAGCTGATCACATCTTCGTGGTTCACCCTGTATAACGTTGTATACCGGTCGCGGAAACGGTTTATTAGCATCGTAGGGCATTAAATCGCCCGGAACATCGGATGCAAGGTAAATCGGTAACGAGTTTACAAGTTGCGTTGTTAACGAGTCCACGTACGAAGCAGAGACTCCTCGTCCTGTCCCGTGAAACCGATCACGCTTCCAAACCACGGGGAAAAAGCGCGATCGGTTGCAATTAAATCATTATAATTCGGAACGGAGAATCTATATGGGCACGAAATCGAAGTACCGTTAGATCCATCGTGAATAGGGGAAACGATTTACTTGACCGCGGAATGGCAACCGCGGTCATCATCGGTTGAACATTGACATATAAACGAATGGATAGAGGATAGAGAACTTTTTACGTTACTTGTTAGTTAAAAAGTTATTCGAATTAATCATCAGCTATTCGAATGGAAACTTCCACCCGTCTCACAGCTTGCCAAGAAGAACGATTGTGCGTACCGTGTACAAACATGTTTCTATTAAATCCTTTTTTCAGCAAAAGGAAGAGGGTTAATGATCACGGTCTAAAGGATGGACCTTGTTCGTCATCCCTCTTAGCTCTACAATTTATCTTCCGTTTGAATAAATTATTCTTTCGCGAAATGCTTGCCACACGTACATATACTTATGTATGTGCAGATCGAAGGAGAACGCGTGCCTGACCGTAGCAATTACACGCATAGTTTGATACGCGAAATGGCCCTGACACGAATCGATTGGTATTCGAAAATTTCACCAGTGTGATTGATCTGCCTTCACTAAGAAAAAAAAAAGGGAAAATGCACTCGTATTCGGAGATCACGAGGACTGGGAGAGTGTCCGCTTAAGAAACTGCCTAATTTATTATTCCTGTACCGGTCGGTGTGTCATTAATTTCACTGGGTCGAAATAATTATACGGGTTCGCGTTACTGGTTCGCACGACTTTTGCGTATATGCACGCCCACGCCACGGTTACGTAATTCTTCTTTCGATCGACTTATAAATCACGGCACAACAGAGGGATTATCGATCACCTAGGAAGGTGTCGCTAAATCGTCGAGGTGAAAGTCTCTCGTGAAAAATCAGAGACGGTTAATGATACGCGATCCATCCAGTCGTCATTTCACCGCGGTTTTTCCATTCAAGTCAGGGAACATTTCATAATTATTATTTGCCATAGGACAGACCGTGGAAGAATAATAGTGCCCGATTCCACGGCTTGTTTTTCGAACTCGTTCCCCTTCCCCTCCGTTGTCGTCGTCGTCGAGGATTTTCATTCGGAGAACAATGGCTGGCTGGCATAGCGAGCCTCCACGGTCGTCGTGTGTGTGTGTGTGTGTGTGTGTGTGTGTGTGTGTGTGTGTGTGTGTGTGTGTGTGTGTGTATGTATGTACGCAACAAACCCGGGGGAATAATAAAACTCGGCGCAATCGTACGCGAGAAAACGTGCAGAGTGATTTTGCATTGAAAACCGCGCTTGGCATTCTATAATTGCAGTAATTGGCACGAAAGTAACGATCGCTCGGGTTTTTGCTATACTTACAGACACACAGGTATCCTTCCGTGTACACACGGGTTTATTAACGGGCAGAAACGGTGAGCACCGCCGCGGCACGCGTGCATGCGTGTGCAACCCTGCGCGCCCTGATTCATCGTGGTTTTGCGTGCGATCGTTTTTGCGGGCAACGGGTCTGTGAATGAAATTACGCGGTCTCTTTCAGTTTGTTCCTTTTTTTTTTTTTTTGCGACACGAAAATTACGTTACTGGAGAAGCCTTGGAACTTTAGACACACAGTTACCTACCCATGTTTCTTTCGACGATCGAAAGGAAGGCCGAATAAGGTTTTTGAATTTCTTCCGAGAACTCCTAAGTCTTAAGAATTACGTACTTTAAAGGTGTTCTCTAATTTCTACTCTTACTTTAGATACCTAGTTTAAAAAATATCCAGTTTCCAACCCTGTCAATTAAACTAAAATTATTTTTTCGCGAATTCGGTAACGCGAGCGAATTAAATTTCAGAAAAGCAACGTTACCTCTATGTCTTCAGAGTCCACACGTGATCGACGTTCAACTATCCCCGGCGCATGATTACAAAAGGGCACATGAAATTGAATTCATTCACGAACCGGCACGAGCGAGGGATATGATTTTCATTTTAAAAATCGAGTGTGGAACTGTCACGAGTCTCGTAACGCCGAGGTCTCATTAGAAAGGAGACGGACATCGGTCGAGGCGATCCGCACCTCGGGACGACCGGAGGTTTACTGACACCGGCGCCTCCACCTGCTCGTAATGTAAGCCAGGTTTCAGTTTATCCTGTGATGCGTCACGTAGAGGGGCACAGAAAGGACAAAACGCGAGAAGCCCGTGGTCGATAATCAGCCGTTTTCTTGCCGTATGCATCTAGAATGAGCACGAAACGGACATCGGAGTGGTAGAACTAGCTTTCGGAATATTCAATCTTCGCCGGTGACGCGAAACCGAGCGGCAACAGTTATATTGCACGGTATCGATATAGCCTATGAAAGCCACGTAAAGGTGATTTTATGGCCTATAATGCTTTCAGTCAAACTTATTTTCCGGTTATTAATGGTCCACTTTGAGATGAGATATTAATGACTTCAAAATTTCTTACAGGAAGCAGTCCGATTTGTACATTGAATTTGCTGTTACGTTCGATTTAGCAAAAGTAGACGATGGCTATTATGTATACATAGATTGATGAAATAAGTGTCGGTTGTTTTACTCACCAGATACCAGAAACCAGTAAGACCTACATGATTAGAATTTTGGAATAAAAAGCATTTCCAAAGCACACACCTTTTTACTTTGATTATCATTGTTGTGAATGGTAGTTTTGAGTAAGCACTAAAGATGACTGCGGGGCGCTGCACGCAGTCGGATACTGTAGCGACATCTGGGAACTAACGATTGAAGCTTTAAATTTTTTATCATTACTCCGAAAAACAAGACTTTCGAAATATTTTGATTAAAAGTTAATGTTTAATACCTTGGCAGAATAAGTCTCGCATTCTTAGTAAAATGTAGGGACATGTCTAAAAAGTGTGACATTAGTGCATCGTGACACTATACATTATGACTACATACATACATAATCTGTAGATCGATTCTCGGTCCTAAACACTGTGTTTGCCAGTTTCCCGCTTCTTTATTTTAATCTCGTCTCGTTCTGGAATATAGTGCATACGTTTCCAGTCGAAGTTTCGATGAAAACGAACAGAAGAGTCGCTATTCTTTCTTTAGTAACATGCCATTAAACTTACTATTCGTCTCATATAACACTGACATGCATTTTTGGACACTGTTTAAGTTTTTTTCTAACGGTTATTAGTGGTACTCCGCGATGGCGCACCCCCACACCCAGGGAACTACTTCGCGGATTGTCTTCGACCAATCACGGTTGACGATTTACACTGCACGGTTGACACATTTTGAACGTCTCGTTAATCTTCCTTAGGATTCCATGATGATTGTGGTTTGTGTCAGTTAGTGAACAGTAATTGTATTCTTATACAAATTTAAATTGTGTTGTGAGTACGGGAAGTGATAGACAGAAAAGCCCGAGCTACTTAGACGTGGAGAATAATCATTTTTGGCAAACATCCAGAAGTTTCTTCAAATATGCGTAAGATTAAAATTTGTCTTTATTAGATTTCGAGGGTCGGTGTTTAACGTAATATTCAGTATGTATTTCCTGTTCCTTTGCGTTGACAGTGCCGGTAATTGCTCCTTATTATTTTATTCACTTGTTATTTAAATTGTAAAACACAATAATAACTGTTTTTCTATAACTAATATTAACCTAACACAAAAATTAACGTAATACAATAATAACTTTGCGTTGATAGTATTCGTAATTGCTCCTTACTATTTTATTTATTTCCTTGTTTAAATTGTAAAACACAGTAATACCTAGCTGTTTCCCTTTTGAAAATGTTAATCAACGCCTACGGGGTCAACAAATTAAACTAAAAGGACGCCAAAATTGCCCAATAATTTCGACCAATCACGTTCGAGCATCTGGCGGTTCAGTTTAAATATCACAGTTGAAGCGTCGTTTGCACCTTGAATTTTACCTTTTTTATTTACCAAAAACATGTAGTTTTATAGTTCGTCAGGACTTAAATTGAAATCAAGAAGAAAAGGACTGCATAAGTAATGGTAAACGAGTATAAACATTCAGAAAGAACTATTTATATATGTATTATATGTATGTATGAAGAAGTGGCCTACAAGCAGTCCTTAGTCAGGCTAGTAGAGACAGGTTCGCCTAGTTGACACACCATTTTAAATTTCGAAGGAAGCATAATTGGTGGCAGCAACAGCTAATTCCAGTAGTAAATTCGAAATTGCTTACCTGTCGAAGGTAAGACTGTCCCGTCGGTAATCGCACCCATTGCAACCGCTGCACCCCGATGATAAGTCAGTTTCGCGATCGGTATCGTAGGAACGATCTTGATCCTTCCTATGCTCCGCGACGATTCCCCATGTTCTATTGATAAGGTAGAACAGATAAAGTTGTTTGCCCCGTCGGCAAGGTTGCGACCTAGCATTCCCCATTCTGTTCTCCAAATGTAAATCTGCTCGATCTCCTTAGCTATCTCTGGTATCACTTCTATACAGGTTTCAAATGCACCAATTGTTTATCACTTTTCCAATTAACATTTATCGAGTCCTTTTCAACGATCAAATCCAATCAATAGAAAATGTCTCGCGATTAACTCTGTCATTTTGCGCCCCGCCAAAGAGATTCGCTTCAGTGATTATAAAGTGGCCATAATTTGTGTATCGTGTATATTCCCTACGCGGAATCTGTCTCATTATCGGTCAGATATCTCGCCCGATACGCCCACATTCCTCAGACAATGAGGAATTTTTTCGCCAACGCGATGTCTCACCGATATCGTGGTATCGTCGGCATTGTCTTTGGGCCCTCGCGGTTCTGAGCACCACAGACTTGCGTAATTATGTCGGGAGGCGGGGGGCGTTGGCGACGTCCCGAGGGTTAGGATAGCGCGTTTATAAAACATACAGTCTCTGCACTTCCTCGAGCGCCCAAGGAATTAAAAGCGCGCCTTTACGACGCGAGTTTATTAAGATATCGCGGTATGCAGATTCATAAATTGTCCTTAAGGCCTTTACGTGGGATCGTTTTATCGTCTGTTGCCGTTCCACGAGACTTTCGCGCCGGGTACGTTGTTTATTTGTAACACGGCTAGCCCGAGAGATATATATATAATTCCCGGTCCTGCCAATGTCGATTGTTTCCTCGAATTAATTTACAACTCTGGACGTTTTGTCGATTAGAACCGGTGTCTACTGATTCGATTTTGTAAATGAAATCGCGTCAGAGAATCTCCTACACCGGTAGCATTATTGTTGCCCTTGTCATATTTCACGCGACGGTTATCCGCCTGTCCCATCGTTGCTCATTGTCTGTTGTCGTTGATGTCGTTAGTGTCACTCTCGTCGGTGTCCTGAGAATTCCCACACGCACGCTGTTCCTCGTGTCCTGCGACCGTTCGCGCACTCGAATGGAAAAAAACGAACGAGCGCCCTGGAAACGCTCCTGTTGTGTGCTCATCTAACTGTAGTCCATTATATTCCTCTTTTGTCGCGAAAAAATCTGCAAGTTACGAGGTAACGGAGCGCGTTCTACCATGCACACCTTCGAATGATTCGTGTCGATCGCGTGTGCATATATGTACTACTATTCGTCGAAGCGGTTCCACGGTTTCCGTTCACCGACTATTCGTGCCCAATAACAATCCCCAGAGGCATGCTTGCAATGACGAATCAATTCGCTACCGTGGCAAAGAAAACGCGGAGTCGATCGTTTCCAACGACTTGCGCGCCCGCGCGAATTGGGATAGAACCGTGCGAACGTGTGCTCATAAAAACGGAGCCAGACGGCCGCCGACGCGTCGAGAAAACCCAGTGATCCACTGACACGTGAAAAATTCTATGAAACCGTTATTACGCCGCTGCATTACGAGCATCGTCTACTTGCCCAGCGCGCTGTTTTCAATTCCGTTTAAGGCGAGTCGGTTTCTTGCCGCCTTTCTTTCGTGGAACTGTTACATTTCGTTCACAAATGGGGAGAAGGGGGGAGACAGGTTCACTGTGGATTTTCACTTAAATCGCCGCAACGACCACGATCACTCTATGATTCCAAGAAATCACGATGCCAGACGTGAAACTGTAGGATAAAGCTGTTGCAACGTGTAGGTCTCCGAGGTGGCAACCACCCAGTATTTACAACAAGAAATTAACGGTTACACACCCATGGAACAGGTTCAGTTCACCAAAAACAAAATTTTAAACAGATTCTCATACTTTCAGTTACACTCACAGAACACTGGATGTATTTTCGTAAAATCTGGTGAGATTTGATCGTCGTTCACGAGTCGATTAACCACTATACATAGATCCTTCGTCCGTCCAAGTCACAATTTCACTTTCCTCAATGTCTCTGTCACGCGTCAACACGCTCGACGTCCCAGCGCGCACAGCTCGTTTCACGAATAATCAGGTAGAAATGCCACCGCGTGGTGTCTGTGTGTGTGTGTGTGTGTGTGTGTGTCTAGGCGCGTAGAGCGAATTTTCCGTGGCGCGATAACACACGGGGCTCTAAGCGCGAAATTCCTGTGTCCACACCACGAGAACCCCCTTGGGTTGCATTGAAAGGTCGGCAGAAAAAACGTCTGTGTACGAGAGAGCCTCGAGAGGCATTCACCGGGCGGGTTTCAAGAGCCGACTGCCAACTCGTGAATGCCCTGAGGTGCACGTGTGAGCATCGGGGAGGCCTCTCTCTCTCTCTCTCTCTCTCTCTCTCTCTCTCTATCTCTCTTTCCAGCCAGAGAGACTCTTCTCCTTTACCTCTACCTATATCTCGCCTCGCGGTTGGCTCTGGCCGCCAGAGTCCATGAGGGATCCACAGAGACTGTGGGTCAAGCCGCGACCTACGTCGATTTCTGACTTGTGTCCTCTAGTAAATATCAATAGGGATGAACCGGTTCAAGTAAATACAAGTAAATAATCGATATTTTCGTTTCGATGCCGAGGATTTTTAGTATCGATACCGTCATTCGGTATCGAAAACAAGTACAGACAAGTAAGTTTACAGACACGCTCAGTAACTTTCATTAAAACAATACAATACTAAATAGACGGGTGGTCTGTTTGACGAATAGTTTGAGAAATATGTTTCTGGTCCGTCTTTCCCGCCGATACTTTTGAATGTAACCGGCATCCTTAGTGTCCTTATGGTTTGCGCCCAAATAACAAGATTCTTCTGGGGAATAGAAATTGATTGAGTAGGTCAGATTCTCCATACCAGTTCCTAGGTATGGCCTAGGAAACCGACCGCTAAAAAAAGTTTTTACTGGGTCAGGTTTTCGATAAAAGAAAAGATTCACTTGGTCAAGTTTTCGAGAATTTTATTAGATACTGGATTAACGTGTCGAGATGATCGATTCTGAGATTGGATCATCCATGAACTTGTATAACGATCGACAAGATCGACACGTCGAGATAAACGAGAGATTACGCGATAAATTGGTTATTTCAATTTTTCCTGTTTCCGATCCTCATTCAACACGAACTCGTTCGATGGAAAAATGGTTGATTAGTATGGAACAAGATGTTTCCGATTTTATGACCGGATTTTGTTGCGTGTTATTTCATTTAAACGGGAGGCTCGTGATTTTATGCTTATTCCACGATGGGGAGTTGTTACCGCTCGTATATACCACGGACTACGCCTGAATTGCCTCAGTCATCGAGGTAAAAGGTGAAATACCGGACAAGCCTTCTACGTAGAGCCCTCATCCGAGGCATTAATAAGACGCTTTACAAAATAGATACTTCCTTCGCCTGTAATATGCATCACGCGTACGAAATTACCCTTACAATTAGTATTAAGTACAAGAATTTTTCCTCTCAGTGTTAGAATATTCTTTTTTTCTTTTACCCTTAATACGCGAGGAGGATTAGTAAATTGTTCGACGATTGTTCGACCAGTGATGTCGGTGAAAACGCGTGTTATCGGAAACATTCTCTGCTTTATTCGCGTCCGTTCCTAGTTTTCGCCGTAGACGAAACGCTCCGTTAGGTCAGTTCGCTCATTTCGCTGTGTGATTCCATAATGAAAGGTAATCAAGTACCGGTTGCAGGTGGGGACTAGCAGAGAAGAAGCGTGCGGTTTCCATGTCTGAAAATGGGGTCCACGGTGGGCGCTTTGTAACAACGCGCGCACGAGAAGACCCGTTTAATCACCGGACCGGATGGAAAACACCGAGGAAAAACCAACTGGCTATTATTGTTACACTTTGTCGTGGACGTTTTGAGGTAATCAGAAGTGGGAAGATCGTTCCTCATCGTCATCGTTCCTTTCACGTATGCCGAAGACGAACGGCTTGGTAATATACCGTTTAATCTGCGAACGATCTTTCTGACTTTTAACGAGTTAATCCTTCATCGTTTATCACCATCGTATCTCCTTTTCTGACGTGATTGAAAAGCACGTTTTCCGTCTCAGGTCCCTCCGACGTACCTATGTAGTGGTTCGTCTACATTCTACATTGTAAACTCCACAATGTAGAATTGGATGTTTTTTTCCATTAGAGAAACGGAGAAAGACGCGTTAATAATTCATGGTGATCGAAGAAGAAACGTTTTTCACAGGTGAAACGCCTGCTGTATTGTACGATGGTAATTGCGACTAATCGAATCAACGTCATCGGTCAAATCACAGGAATATAGGCAACGCGCAGCGAACCGTACCATTGGTGAGTCACGTTTCGTGTCTGACCCATAGGACATAAACGAGCCGCTAATGGTCAATGGTAAATCTTCCAAGTCGTAGCCATCAGGTTTCGGTGTTTAACATCGTGTTTCTCTGCACAGAAGTTTACTTCTGAACGCCGACAAATTAAAGGTCGAGGAGCCACAGGGGTTGTATATGTATATCGCCTGTTTGTGTGCGTGTGTGTATATCTGTAGGTCAGATCTCCACCGGTGTTACCATCGCGAATCTTCTCAGCCAAAACGGATTAGACGGTGTACGTACTTACCGCGAGATAACTGATTGCCACTCGTGTATCATTCTGTTACTGAAAAAAAGATAACCAAGGTTGCTTCCGGCTTCTTGCGCAACATCGGGAACAAGGAAACGCTCCGCGATTCCGCTAATGGTCCGATCGTTCAATAAACACTTCCTCGTTTTAGACATCAAGGTTTAAATACGATCGTGAAGATTATTAACCGGTGGTGTGTAATTCATGCTTTACTTTCACGATTAGAACCATATGTATATTCTGTGCTTTAAGTTTTTGCAATTACGCCGTCGGACCTGTTCTCTCTGTTACTCTATTTACATACGTTCGACCATTCGCAGAAGGAAATCTACCATTAACCGATAGGCGAGGTCGAACGTCGTACCTCCGCAACCTGTTACGATAATGTGCACTTTGATTCGAAATACTGGTTACAGTCCAGTTGAAAAAAAAAAAGAAACAAACAGGACGGAACTCTCCCCTCGATCGTTACGAGGTACGAGAGATGATCGGACCGGGTTTCGATACAATTATTCCATTGCACGTGTGTAACCTTTGCGTAACAACAACGTGTCATGAATGAAAGCGCGATCCTTTCACGCGAGGCAGTGACCTTTCGGTGGTGGATCCCTCGGAAATATCCTTCTCTGTTGGTGGTGAACGGCTTTAAAACCTGGCGCTGCTGTTTTAATCCGATGCCGGGGGTTGGATCTGACTACGAGGCAATTCTACTGGGTCAGATTCACGCTTGACCTGGCCCGAACGGATCCTTGTAACCATGTATCAAGCAACGCAAGAATAGCCAGCTACTTCCGGATGCTTGAGCAACGCCAGTGAACAAGGAAGACGCGTATCTACGAAAGAAATGATAATTATTCCACGAGTACGCCTAGGAACCGGGGGGGGGGGGGGGGGGAATGGTCGTTGTGGAGCTAGGAACTCATTCGACCGCGTATTACTACGTCTGTCATTTAAGCAGGAGATTTTGCTTTGAGAAAAATCGTTTAATACACCGATCTAGCGGCTTCTGTGCACGCTGAATTATTGCTAGGCATCGTTTATGATGCGACCCAAGGAGAAGGGATCGATCGCCTTTCACGTCGATCCCCCTACCATTGCCATTCGAACGACCGAAGGCGTTTCACGCGCGGTTTCGTGCATTCTCAGATCCGTAACCGAGCCCACACGCTGCAAACCGTTCGGGATGTAAGTATGCACGTATTACGAGATGCGCACGCGGGCTATCGCGGGAATTTGTAAAGATTACAAGCTTTCGTATACCGGAAGCGGCGCACCGTGCAGAGAGAGTCAGTCGCATAAAAAGATATTGTTCGAAAATTACAGTGGAGAATGGCAAGTACAGGTTTATAGTTCGATAGGCTGGGCTCTGGTGTATACACTGCTGGCGAAAAGTTTCCGACCACTTCGATACTTATAACGAACACGTGAATTAAAATGAGGAGCAACGGAGTCAACGAACTTAGATTTCTAGTGGAATACTGATACATTTTATTCAAGAGATATAACAATACATTTTACTGTGTGCGTTTATTAAACATAATCATTGTAAAGGTAATGTGAATTGTCGTCAGAGACTTTATGTCTTACAATTTTCTAACGACACGTGTCATATAACAATTGCGTACCTGTATATTGGTCTCAAAAATTTAATAGTGGTCTTTGATAAAGCTAATTATTGCACCTACGCTAAATCATCGATGAGTGTTCGAGGGCTTCACGGTACTGTTTAGACGTCATCCCTACCTGTGGGCGCTTGACTGGTTCCACAGGGAACTCCCTCCAGTGATGGAGATAACGCCAGAACACTTAGTGCCAAGAAGCCTTCGGACACTCATCGATGATTTACTGTACTCCGAAATGGTACGAAAGATTCACCTTCACATAACTACCCCAATTGAGATTTAATTTGTTTAAAGTACCATAAACGGTCATAAAACCTAAGGAATTATAAACGTGAGACACCACAGTAACAAATAAAACTGATTTTATAACAACTGTTTCAGAACATTTCCATCTATTAAGGAAGCATATTTGGAGAAGCAGACGATGGTCGGAAACTTTTTGCCGGCAGTGTATATGTGCTCATCGCTATACTGTGTTCCTCTTGGTCTTACGTAAAACAACGCGATACGATTTCACGAACAAACGCCATGCAGATGATGCATTCGAAAAAGAAGGACGCATAAACTGTGGCGCGCGGTGGGTAGGTAATACCCATAATACTCGTGTGACCGTGGTTTTCGCATCGCGATAGCCCCCGCGACGTGTGTAAGACTTAGAGGAGTACTCGTCGCCACCGTGGTCGAGAATTACGTAAGTTTTCCTGGGAGAAAGATCGTCTAGTAGAAAGCATGTCAATGTGGCAATCTCCAGTGAGTGTTTTTACTCGGGTTTTCTAATCCCCGTTTCCATCCGCGATTCTTTCCGGTCACGCTCGACTTGCGCGAAATAAAATAACAGAATCATGGAGGTTGTGTTTAGAGCCCTGCTATATGCACATTTGACAGGATTAGAAAAATTAACGAAGAATGAAACAATTTCTATTTTCTTGGGAAAGCTAGAGGTTGTCTTTATGGAGACAAGTCGCGACAGCCAGACGATCGAACGGTTAATGGCCTCGTCCTTCGCCGAAGGCGGCTAATTAAACAGAGCTAAAAAAAAGTGGACGGAGCAGGATCGCGGTTATGTGGAACAGGGTGTCGTCACGTATCGCTCACCGACTGACCCATAAAACTTCGCATATATTTGGCCCCGAACTTCTCGTCGAACAAAGTCAAGCCTCCTATATGATGGAATCCACAAGAAAAAAAAACGTATATACAGTTTTCGCTACTCGGAGATTAGCAAAGCATGTTAATGGCTCGGATCTTCGTGTTCCGGAAAGGAGCGTGCGTTAAACTCTACCGTACGGAATAAAAGTGGATCACCTCTCAACCTTCGCGTAAATAATCCCAACCTCGATATGAGAACACGAATCTTCTCACGAGAATCCGAAATTTTTCAGGAATATTCTATTAATTAACTTGAAGATACTTTTCTAATTATATTGTAGAATGAACGAGTTATTAGAGAAGTAACTGTTATTCTATCAATTTACTCTTGTTCACCCGTAACTTTTTAAACACACACGATATTTGCAAACTACTTAGTAGTAAGTACGTTCCCAAGTAATTCGCGAGGTTCATTTTTCTCGTATAATTTTACTCTGTAGAAATAAGGGAGGTGGGAGAATTGATCGCAGAAAATTAATGTTATTAGTCGACTGCGAATTGTCTCAGGATCGGTGTACGAGAGTAAGGAGGAAAGAGATGGATAATGTTTCGCGGTTGGCGTGATTGAAAATGCTGCCGGGTGGTGTATACGCCACGATGGAGAGGTGATAAAACACGTTTGCCCGATAAGTACCGACAGACGCGCAATTACGGTTATCTACAGTTAGGGTCACTAAAAAAGCCCCAGGTCCCGTCGGTCTAGTTTGCGCCGCGTTTGGAACGGCGCACGAATGCATCTCGTACGCTCGAAAGACGTATCTGGTGTATATCTCTGGTGTGTACTCGCGGCAACGGCCGAGCCTCCGCCCATCTAAGACGGTATTATAAACCGTTATATTATAATAATATGTATATACCGAGGAAATATAATTTGCCTACGCTTATGTTGATTCCTGCTTAGCGAGAAGCTGATCGTTTCCTTCTTCTTTTCTTCCATTCATTCGGATTACTTTCTCGTTCTCTTGGTCAACGGAAGAACCGCCATTCGAACGCATTTAGAGTCGACTGTATTTATGAAACGGCGATGGAGTAGAAAGGTGTCAAGGCTGGCTGGTTTATGAAGTCATTACGGCTCATTAGAAACCTTTTAAACATACCCGCCGCTTAATTGTAGTCATCTACTTTATCGACGTTTCGAGCAGATAATCATTCTCTTCCTTGACAAGTTGGTCCGCTGGAAACTTCTACTGCATGCATTGTCAATCACACAGATTCTAAAAAAAGAATTACATTTATAATAATAAGTAGTCAGTGTTGGAATACCAATTGAAAGTTCTTGGGTGATACGTGTACATATGTACATACATACAATGTCAAATGTTGTTTCAAGAGCGCTGTGCTTTCCTCTCATTGTTGAAATTTTTTATTTGTTTCGTTACATACATAAATAAACATTATTTTATGGTTCGAGAAATGATAGAATACACATGCACAGTTATGTACCTGTACATATGTGAATGTGTGCAAGGAAGAAGTGTTATCGACTGCGCCGCCATTCGGAGTGTTCAGCTTTGCTGCAAGAGGACCGCACAAGCGTTTCGAAGTTGGTGGTGTGTGCGCGTGTTTCAGCTGACGGCTTGTATGTTGTATGTAGTCAAGATGGCTTCTGCGGAACAGGTCGGTCTGAACAAAACTTGGGAATTATCGCTTTACGAGCTTCATCGTACGCCACAGGATGCGATCACGGACAACACAGAGATCGCGGTTAGCCCGCGAAGTTTACACAGTGAGCTCATGTGTCCGATTTGCCTGGACATGCTCAAAAAGACCATGACCACGAAGGAGTGTCTGCATCGTTTCTGTTCCGATTGTATCATTACGGCACTTCGGAGCGGTAATAAGGTACGTGTTCCTGATTGAATTCCTCGTGACACTGTAGTTTGCAGTTCTTTGCTCATCAATACCCTGTAATTTGTCCAACAACTTCGTCTTTTGTTAGAAGTAAACACCAACGAGTGTTGACTACGTTGACACCACTGTTTGTTTTTTCCATGTTTGTGTTGTGTTGTGTATAACTTACTCAAGTCGCAGAATCAAGGATATAAATGTTCGTAAATTAGTAGTGTAATGGTTACAGTCGAATATTCAATTAGCGTCGTGAATATGTTGGCGTACTGCATTGTTGCGTTTCTATTGTTGGTTTTCTCGAAAGTGGATATTCTATTTTTTACTCTAGAATAGAAATCACCTGAATTTTCAAATTAACATTGATAGGTGTTGTGTTTTGTTGTTGTGTTAGACTTGATAAATTTTCTATTGGAATATCTACTTCAGTTTTAATTCTGAATTGAGTCGAGCTTCCTGTAATCGTCTTAAGTGTCATTAAGGTGTAGCGACGTTAGTCTAGAAGAATATGAATTATTGGTAGAGATTGAGAATGTTCCGGAAGACAACAGTGAGTATTAACTTTGCGTGTTATTTCTAGGAATGCCCAACCTGTAGGAAAAAGTTGGTATCTAAGAGATCTCTTAGACCGGATCCCAATTTTGATCTGTTAATTTCTAAAATATATCCAAGTCGTGATGAATACGAAGCGCATCAAGAGAGAGTATTGGCAAAACTCAATAAGTCTCATTCGCAGGCAGCATTAGTGAATTCTATTACAGAAGGGATTAAGTTGCAAAGTCAGAATCGTCCTCAGAGGTCCAGGAAAAATGCGAATGAGTCTGAGAACGCCAGCAACGCGACTTCTTACAACAATTCACAGAACGCCAGTGCGCCAGCCACGCCAAACGCTGCTAATTCCGCTAATCAAAGCGATTCCTCCCAGAGCGCCACGGGACCTCTGAACAATAGTAGTGGGGGTAATTCTCAAAATTCCAATAGCGTCTCCCAACCCGCCAGTAGTCCTGCTGTCTCTGGTAACGTCGCTGGGCAAAAATCTAATTTTAAAGACACCGCCGACGTAAGTGAAACTGATCGTACGTCTGCTTCAGGCACCACGTCGAGAAACTCTACCACACCGTCGCCAAATCCAGCGAATCAGATACCAAAGCCGCCGAAACGACAGAAAAGTTTACAAAACTCGGAAAACGATTCGTCGAGCGCAGAGGCTGAAACAGGCGGCGGGGATTCCATGGTAGATACGGAAGGTGAAGGTCCCAGCGAGCCATTGATGCTAAACGAGATCGAGCTAGTTTTTAAGCCTCATCCCACAGAGATGGCGTGCGACAATTCGCTCATCAAGGCTCTGAAAGAGAATAGTATTCGATATATCAAAACCACAGCGAACGCAACAGGTAGATACCCGATAAAAATTCGAAGATCTCTAGCGGATATAGTTTCGGTAACTTTGCGTTAAGACTAGACTGTAAGTGGGTCGATCGACGTCTTGGAATAATGATTTCTCTGCTTATCTTTGCAGTGGATCACCTAAGCAAATACTTGGCGATGCGACTGACGCTGGATCTCGACACAGAATTGTCTGAGTCTGATAGGCTATTAAATTTTTGTATTTACATAGCGCCCTCGCCGGGTCAGCTGGTTGTGCTGAGCGGATCGCAGACGTTGCGGCAGGTGAACGACAAATTCTGGCGTGTAAACCGACCACTGGAAATGTACTACTCCTGGAAGAAGACCTAGGGAAGGCCTAGAAAGTATCAATCGGACGGGAGCTAGTCGCAATTTAAGCTCCCCGGAATCTTGCGACACAACCATTCGTACTACGTGGAGTACAGAGAGCCAGTAAAACGCGTTTATTATATCAGAAAGGACCGATATATTTTACTGTACTTCAATGAGCCTTGATTGTTCTAAAAGCAATCGGGGATTGGGTGTACGAGGGATGAATTCCTCGTAATGAACGACAGTGGTGCAATTTTTATCTTCTTGGGGGGACTGGTTGCTCGTATATCCTCGTTAAGGGAACGATAGACATACAGACAGGTTTTTGATTGAAGCTCACCTTGGCATAGGCCCGGAGTTGTTAACGTCTATCGGGTTAAAAAAAAAATGTTAAAATACTGCCATTTACCAGACATTGCATTGCGAATGAATCGATAAGTGTTTCATTCAAGAGAATACGTTGCCGAACTTGTGACTCACTCGCGTGTAGTATTTATCAGGACTACGAGCCCTCTTCCGACAGGTATAAGTTAATCCGGTACGCCCAGTGAGATAATATTTCCATGAACCGATGGCCTGAATGGTTGAAGAACTAACTTATTTAGTAAGCTCCGACTCGCTGTGGACCATTCTGTATAGTTTCACGAAGAAATAAATCAGTGTATATAACATATCCATTGCGTAGGCGTATTCGAGTAATCGATAGACATAGTCCACTCCTGCAGTCATCTCCATATGCTTCTTCTTTTTTGTTTTCGAGTGATACGACGCGATTTACCGACTCCTCTCGTTCTTCCTCGGGATCACCTCTTTGATGGAAAAATCGAATTTTCGATTACGCTGAAGATACACGGAAAGCGTCTTTGGCGTGGGTAGACAGAATAATCGATAAGAGCCGACCCCATACTGCGCCCTCTTGCATTTCCACTGAACCGAAAACAATGCGAACGCTCCGGCTTGGGATACTGCCACCCTCTCTTAGTAAACGGGAAACCACGTCAGAACTTGTGGTGCCCTTGTATAGTATACCATTACAGGCTCCTTTATTTTCTGTAATTAATTTATACGGGAACGTTCTTGCTAAAATAACCTTTCTAAATCGTTTAATCGAATAACGAGAATTCGTTTAATCAAAGTAACACGATACACGCAGGAGCGACCGTTTCAAATCAAAAGGGTCAAAGGTAAAGTCGGAAGTACTCGTGCACACAGAATTTCCGGTTATCCGCCGTCACCTAATCCTCCACAGGATTCCTCGAACTCCCCTTTCCATTAATTAATGAATTCAGAAGCAGCGTTACATTCACAGCAATCTTAGCTGTGCCTAATTACAGGGCACGCAACGGGGTAATAACCGACGTTCCTAATTAGCGCACCAAGTGAATCTTAAGACGAGTCCTCCGTATCGCGGAGCAGACCTGATAATTTCCTGTAACCATTAATAGGCATAATGCTAATTGCCGTATTCCTGGTCTAAAATGTTACCGTCGGGTCGTAACAAGCAACATTATTAAAAGGATCTTCAGAGGAGTGCCGATTTAGTTCTGTTAATTGCTCGTTAATACATAGAAAAGTCATATTACTTTAATTTATATTTAAGAAACACGTGTTTCGTGTGTACGATAACAAAACGATCCACATAATATCGTTCCGGAAATTATTTATTCACAATGAAATGAAATCTTCTCGCTTCTAGAGTCGGAAGAAGTATCGTCCGTGTCTTTCGCCTCGGTAGCCGAAGTCGAAGCACTGGTCAGTGCATTCAACATCGATTTCACTTTCTTTACTAAATTATTTTCAGTAGGATCCTGGAAGAAATCGTCTATTTGCTCTTCTTCGGTAGATTCCTCGCTGGAGTTATTATCCGAGAGTTCCTCGTCGAAGACGTCCTTTCCCCCTTTCGCGTTATCGTATTTCTCGCTTAAAAGTTTCTTGTAAATCTCGTCCGAGGAGAATCTGCAAAATTCGTCGTTCCGTGAGAGTCAGACCATCGATCCCTTCTTTTAAATCCTGTTATCGCGGCCTGTCGACACATTGGGCGGGTGTGGTGTCTGCGTTATTCTTCGTCAATGAACAAAAAACCCATTACACAGATCCCCATTTTCTGGGAAAATCCCATCGGTGGTGGATCGATCGAATGACGTAACCAGTTGGGACGAATACTAACGGAATTTTATATGGTTCCTTGTACCACAACGGATATCCCGTGGGATTCTGTCTGCCATCGGGAATCGAATTCTCGGGCGGTACGGAATGCAGCCTGAAATGCGGCGGCTCGACCGTCTCCTCCAATAAAGCGGACACTTGTCTCGCGTACTCATCGGTCCCCGCTGTTCGTTCTAATCTGCGAACGTTGGTCACAGACCACACATCGCTCTCTTAGACATTTGGCCATTAAATTAGGATCACTCACAACTTTCAGCAATTCACATATTTTCTTAGTAAAATTGAACGGTTTGAACGTAATTTAATAATAAACTTTATTAACTACTAAAGTACAGAATTGTTTAATTTTACCAGTCTAATTATTCGAAATATTCAAAGTGATCGAACTTTGAATTGTACCGAATGGGAATCTGAACATTACCTATATTTGTTTACTGAAAACAAAAAAGATGTTGAAACTTGGGACTGGTCCTAATTCAGTGGCCAGTGGTTGTAGATTCGCCTAGACCAGTTGGAATCTCTGGAGGCCTTGGAGATTCGAACCAACCGTTCTAGCTTACTTGTGAACCATCTGTCTGGTGAACTCTAATCTCGGTGCGATTCGCACAGGCTGCGGGACAGGCTCCAAGGAACCCTTGATTCTCCCTGGTTGCGGTTTATTCGAACTTTCCTGAACACCGTAGAAGTTCCCGAAGTGTACGGCCGCGTCTTTCGGGACGTTCGACGATGTCAGCCGGGCGTTCTTAGATAGCCCCCTGTTAACGGAGTCCTCCTCTTCGGTGTTCGGCGTGCTTTTTGAAAAGTGAGACCTCGGCTTTCGCGCCGGGAACCTTGGGAAAAGGTAATAATCGTGCATTAAGGTAATGATAGCTCGATACAAGAGAGAAGTTGTTAAACCAGTAGAGCTCGATATTCTTTTACGCGGCCCCTCGTTTGTTCGCCGCCGTGTTCATTGAATATACATATACATGTACATAGCCTCTTTCCCGGAATCGCCCGTGCGATGCCTTTAACCCAGTTACGATCAACATCTCGTATAGTTCTCTCGGAATAATTTAAAACTGACCTGAAAAACGTTCTTCTGGAACGTTTAGAAAAAAAATCATCTGTTTCAAATGGAAACATCGAATTTAACCCTCAGACAGTACACTTGTTGCGAATTTGCATCAGTGAAACATTGTTTCGTCTGTTTGTTGTAAAATGTGCCATTTTTTTTTATAACAAATTTTCATAGCTACAAAAATTGTCCTTTACTTTTGCAATGATTACCATTGAATTCCTAAGGAAATCTTACCCTAACAAATGTGTTACAGAGTAGAATTTGCTTATTATTCTCATCCAATTCGCACTATGCTGACGAGGGGTGTAGTTTCGGGGGTTACTATAGCTATCGGTTGATCATTCCCGACTGACATACACTTTATTTATACCATTACGAGACATTTATTTCCGTTATATTCTCGCGGAAAACCGTGCAAGCTGACGGACTGTATCGGTTGATTTGTCGTGACAGGCAATTTGCGTGAAATTACAGTGAATCGAGAGCGCGCAGAAATGTCGAACGATCTAAAGTCTAAAGAATTTTATGAAAGTCGTCGTTGTTCCGCTGTATATATCAGCTGTCGACGACAATCACGGCTAATGAATTATTCATGCGAACGAATTACAACTCGCGGATGTCGAGCCCACGGAGAGAATACGACGGATTATGCAAAAGTTTACAATTTCCTGTCGTCGACGCGCGCGTACTTTCACGGACGACCGATTGGCGAATCGTAGGTGAAACTAATGAACGAACAATGGTAATATTGGGTTGACCACAAAGTAATCTCGTATTTCTGCAGTTGACGATGCTTTTTTTATGTAAAATAAGTAATACGGATCGCTGCTCGGTGACCTAACCCAGACCCGTAATGTTTCAAGAAAATTTCTTCATTCCGTACAGGAATTCGTAACCAGAAATAGACGAATTTCTTCGAAGATTGTAACCATATGTATGTAAACGAAGTTTCTCGAGCGAATTCGAGTCAGGGGGGATCATCTCGTCGGTCGTGTCCGTGATCATAATCGTGAATATTTTATAATAGTTGCGATTCTCTCGGTGTCGATGGAATTTCCATACTCTCTTATAGATCAACGCTCACTCGCGGAATTTCCGTAGATTCTATAGAGATTAGTATAGATCGACGCTCACCTACGGAATTTCCTGACGAAAGAAGGCGACGCGTGTAGGTTATTAGTCGTCGCTCGAGGATCTCCAGATAACCCTGTCGCGGATTTCACTTTCGTATTCTTGAGCATCTCCACCGATGATTGTGAATTCACCTCCTCTAGAATTTAGTCCCGTTCATTGCATCGTATTTACTAAAAATTTTGTGTTAGCTGATATATCGGATAATCAAGAAAGTTCGTGCCGTTTCTAGGTTTTGTCATTGTCAAACTGTATGTACATGCGCACACTCTATCAATTCGAAGTACGGTTGTGCATGTTTAAACAAAAGCTTATTTAACAGAGAATTTACCTACCGGTGTGTAACACTTCCGGAAATTAATCATTTAAAGATACGAAAAACTGACCTCGGTATGACTGTGTCAACATGGCGCCTTCGGACCATCATTTTTTCCTGGCAACAGACAGCCATTTACTCTATTAATTAAAATGGCACGACCTTACTTGGTTACCTGATATTTTCCTGTCTGTGGACGCATTTCGATTGAAGCGATCGCATTGATTTATTTCGGCGAGTAGTCGGGACCTTCGCTAGGCGGAAAATTTTCGGTGACCCGAACCAGCACGGTCATGATCGCGAGGAGTAATCCTGGGAACGAGTACTATACACTCGGCAGAACGTTTTAACGGAATTAGATTGGTAGGTTGTGCGCAGCCAGCAATCGTTTTAATGGCGCTACATCGATAGGGGGGCGATACCCCGGCTTTTTCTGTACATAACCAGCAGGCCGTGTATGTGCGTGTGTGCGTAGATCTGGCTGACCGCAATTAACCACAACAGCTCGGGCGTTTCGATCGTTTTCGTTCGGGATTACGCGAGATAGAGAGTATCGGTGGGAAATTAATATGTACTGTTTTGAAGATCCGACATAAAACGGTTTATCAGGGTGGAATCTCCGTTGTGAACGAATCACGTGTGTTCGTTTCTCGCTCCTAGCCAGCTGCATCTATAGTATACTAGTGATGGCGATACATTCGAATTGCTTCGGAATGTATTGATACCCATCATGAATTGTATCGATACACATGAACAGTGACTCACAAGTTTGTTAATAGAATGTCTACTCGCTTCTACGTGACAAAATTATTTACCAAAATGGCAATTCTATTTCAAAATTAGGAAATTATATATCGATATTCGAAATCTTGATACTACATATGTCGCCCATCATTAGTGTAACTCGCGAATGTTCGAATTGTTTCTTTTTTCTCACCGGTGGGGGAGAAAGTCACTGATTTACATTCGAATGTTTTTTTCTTTCAAACGTGTGAGTCCGTTACGATGAATTATTATTATACCGCGATGGAATGAAGCGATGTATGTTAATGACCGTTTCTTTCGCCATTCTGCATCAAAGCACGCGTTGTCTAGACGGGGGAAAAAAAGAAACGTGATCGTAAAATATGTTGTGGCCCGTTTTTATACGAAGCATCAAGGAGGCGCGCGATCGTTTCAACCAGATGGAGGGAAAAAAGCGACGAAAGGACACGGGAACAAATGGTGGACACGAGGTATATATACGGCGAGAGTCGAATGTATGGTATATATCGCAGATAAAAGGCGGTAGAATAGCGTAGCCGTGTAGCTTATTTACGATCGAATGAGAGCAAAATGCTCGATTTCGTGCCGCGGCGCGAGAAAAGGGAGCAAAACCGCGCGTCCCGCGATGCATATCTTATGCACGTGCCTCGAGAAAAAGAAAAGGGCTTCTGTCCGCCGTTCCTCTCCAGACGCGGGTACACCGAAATTATTTATTGTCGTATGGTGTGCATCGAGAAATCCGGAATATTTCAAGGGGTCAAATGGCCTTCCGTGATTTTTCGCCCGTTTGCTCGGTTAAAATCTCTCACATCCGTTCCATTAGGAATTTTGCTACAAATCCGCTTCAATTTTCATTTTAACCTCTTGCCTTATAACATCGTGTCGGACTCCTGTTGACGTTCACAAAATCGATTCAGCAAACATTAATATTATTCGTTCTCTTCGAGTCGAAGCGACACACCACGTTGCTGGAATGAATATTTAACTTTTTTCTTAATTTCACGATGTGTAACCGTACAATCTCGTTTCTCGAGGTAAAATGCTACGATTCTAGCAATTCCGTCAATAACTCCGGGTTCTCATGTCCCACAAATTAATCCGTTTGACCCCTTGAGATCATCAGGTTGTAAATAATCCAGCTCGCCTTCTGTTCCCGTTTTTCATCCGTACATTACCTACATATCCTTCATTCCCCGTTACGTAAGCGGTCCGCAGTGCGACGCAGCGTGCGGAAGAAACGGAATTTACACATAAAGGGCGTTGTTGTTGTTGTGTTCGCCAATGAAAGACGCTCGTCCCCTCCCTCCTGTGTAACGACGGTTCCTGCTGTCAGTAAGTTTTAATTATTCCGCGTGCCGGTGCAACGCAGCTGGTTACGAAATTATACAAGACGTAGTTATAAAAGTTGGCGGCGGGACTTCGAAAAGTGATTAAGCAATCGGCAGGTTTTTTCTCCGCTGTTAGCGCGTACCAAACAGGGGAGGCAAATGAACGTGCGCGCACTCGCGGAGGGAGGTCCTTTTGATCTGACTGGAATTTCTCGGCCGAGCACTTTTGTAGGTAATGCATTGAAAAAGGAATGACACCCAATGCGCGCTGATTGGATTTGTGATTGGCCGGCTTTGGCTTGATTCCTTCGTTGGAAAACAAAACTATAAAAATCATACCGTTTTTTTCCTGTTCAGGGGACGACCTCCTCGAGTTTAATTAAAACTTCTACCAAGGGTGGATTCTCGCCCCTATACTTTGTAGCTTTCAACTTTTAACCTCATCTTGGAACGGTATAAAGTAAATGCAACGTGAATCTTGGGTCTACTAGGTATTTTTTTTTTTTTTTTTGTAGCATCTACCCTGGTATAGGGAAGCTCTCGGGTTTTTCCGAGGTTTGTAGGAGGATAAAAAGTCAACAAACGATACGATTCTGAATGGTCTTCCAGGTTCCTGGGAATCGTCTGTGTAAATAGACTATTTCGAGGAATACACGAGGAGTCATTGGTGTATCTGTGTCAGGGTATGGAGATAATTTTAAAAGTGTTAACGATAATGATACCATGTCGGTGGATTGAATTGCGAATTTGCATATTCTAAATCGATCCTGCGTAGAATGTTAGATGTGCTTGTTACAGATGCTATCGGATACGATAGAGACATTGAATGTACGTATTATTCATGTTCCACGAGTCCTACGGCGTTCTTGACTCTGTTACAGATCTACACACGGATGTGAGCAGCGAGAATGCACCGGGAACGTGCACTGTGGGAACCTCATCGGTTGTCCTTTCGTAAGTCGCAAGCTGTGTTGCTTCGTCTCACTGTATCAAAGACGAAGAATGCAGTTCTTTTTTTCTAAAACGTTAGATTCTTTCGTTTGTTTCTGATACTGAAATTACTCTTTTGAATTTACAGCCTGAACTAGTTGTTAAATGACTCTGCAACCGAGGGGATCATACGAAAAACAATCCCTGTCGAATGTTTTGCTTTTTACGATTCAGAATTCTGGTGGTCAAAAGGGAGACTCGTAACACGATAAAACCTATACAATCAAAAACGACCTACCAAAGATGCTAGAGTATTTTTTTATTTCTCTAGGAAGAATAACTTGAACTTCAAGTTTTTGTTTCAGCAATAATCAACGGAAAACGTTTAAGAGGTGTCGTGTCTGTGATGCGTCTACAAGTTACTCGATTCTTTTTCAGAATTATTACAGCATACATTTCTCTTGGCGTGTATGTATTTGTCGATTTTAATTAGGGATGAACACAAGGAGGGTTGAAAATGCCTGGAAGGGTCATGAGTATAACAAGGAATCGGCTTTTCGAACGGGACTTCGGGCGTCTTCGGTGGTCACCGACACTCTTCGTGCTACTCTTAACTCGTGCTCGTGCTGTTTCGAGTCAGTCGTTGACGCGCGCTCGTTTGGTTTGCATCGGGTATTAATGGTGCTTCAACATCCCCGAGGAACGTTTCCCAGTCCATCGCTGATGTGAAGAGGCTGTGTATGCTCCACACCTGTATTATCCATGAAACAATACCACCGCAACATGTGTACGATCACAAGGTAAGAGAACAATTACAATTCATTAAAAATTTTTTACTTTCGCGAAACTCTGCACCGTACAATTGTTTCTTCACAGGTATTCTTCCAAAACGTTTAACAATCCTTTACTGTACATCTTTAGATTCCTATATCTAACGTTTTAGATTTATATACTCCAAATTTTTACATTCCTATATTCTACATTTTTATACATATAGTATTTATAAAGGATTACTCTAACAAGCTACGGCCAAGGATCGGCCCGTTTCCTGTACACATCTTCCAAATTCACTCCCTTCGGTCGTTCCTCTCGAGATAAGATACAAGTAGATACATTTAAGCTTTTTCCCGACAGTTCTCTCCATGTGTCCATTCGAACGAAACCGCGCCAGTCGATACGTCGACACTGGCATTCGAAACGTTTAATCTTCGGTGACACGTTGACGAGCATTTAGCTGATAGTTGGGTCCACTCGTTGCCGCGTTAGAGAATATACACACTTTCATCCAGTCGTCCAGCAAGTATCGAAAATCCATAACTGGACGAGCACATAATAAATCTCCTGGAAGCCGTCTGCTGGCTCCTGATAAATTTTAATACGACCAATTAATGGTCGTCGTTTCCACTCTCGGTCATCGAGTATCGATCAATTACATCTCTTGGCCCGTTTCTCGACACCAAACCCTTTTGTCAAAGTAATTTTAACTCTCACAGTCGGGGAAGAAATCATTGTAGCGATGGAGCAAAAGCAATGGTAAATATTCTCGGGGGATAGACTCGTCAATTGAATTTGTTGTATATGTACTCCGCGAACGAACGGCCGCGCCGTATCCTCTATCTCGGGCACGGTCAATATTGACTCTCGCTCGAACCACAAGCCCATCGTAATAAATTATTGACTTCGTGGAACTAGACGAGAAGAGGTCCCGCAGTGATCTGCATTAACCGTACACGACCTATCCACGCTTGTATACCACGTATACACACATGTACATGTGTGTATATATATATATATATATATATATATATACTATTTTGCCATAAGGCTCGGGAAATTATGCGTCGCATAAATCACCTTTATGCTCGGACTATCGTTGCCAAGGGAGAGTTTGGAGGCTTTCGCCGAGTAGTGAGTGTATCGATAGCTCCGAATCGACGAGCACGGGAGAAAGATGACTCCGATATCGAGTGTATTATGCGCCTCTTTATTCGCCATCGGAAGGTAATTTAAAGATTCTTACGGTGTAACGACTGCAGATGTGTTCTATACACGTTCGTCGTCTCCTCTCGTCTTGTTTAACGCTGGAATATATATATATGTATTAATTTATTAATAGGTTGTAAGATTTATTCAGTTACGTATGTAGCATTAAGACTCATTGAAAATGCTATGTCATTAATTTATGCCATTCTTGTGAGGAATTACAGATCGGCCATTTTGATTACTTTGGTAGTTACAGTGTTAAATAATTCTGTTTTGGTAGTTCTAGTGTTTAATAAAACTGGCAAGACACACTGATTGGCAAGATTGTACTCTTTACTGGTCTTTTTTACCACAGCAGTGAATATATATATTGATCACCTTTACAGGTTTTTTTGCTTCAATACATGTTATATTCTTTTGGTACTGTAACAAAAGATCTTCGATGACCGAAAAGTAATAGGCTGTAGACTTAGTCCTCCACGTTCTTCGCAAACTATCCGTCGACCGTGTATACGCTCCCGTTCATAAGTATTACAACACTTATCGAACATGCAGTTAATGTTACAAACCCTTACGAAATTGCTGAAAATCTTAAATAAATATTGTTTAGAGGATATTAATACTTTATCGAACGGTAATCTATTAATAGGCTTTAAAATTTCAGTGCTTGTAGGAAAGAAGCCTATTAACATTACCCTTAGATCAGGATTGCTTTTCGGTAAGGTTCGATATACCTGTCGATATAAATTCCCGATTTTCGATCGAACGGTCGTAGCTGCTCCTTTCGAGGTACAGTGAACCAGCCCAGTGCTGACAAGAGGATAAATTTCCATAAGTGTATCGTAATTCGACGCCCTATACCTGAGAGATGTGTGTATGTGAGTACTGTGCACTTTTCTGTCGGTTCGTCGGCACTCGATATGCCATTCGAAGGGGTCGCCCACGCAACACACGCACAGCACGCACACATAATCACCTTCGCTCGTGGATCCTCGTTTTTCTCTGTGTGTGTATTGGCGATTTACGGGTAAGGGCACCGTGCACCGTCTGCTTTCTGTGTTAGTCACCGACCATGGGGGGTGAAAGAGACTCTGGGCACACCGGGACTGTTAGGAAGGGGAAAAAGAGACGAGAGACAAAAATACGCTCGAGAGGAAGAAAAGGTGGCACGCATACACGATCCGAAACTCCACGTTAAACAGGCTCGACGTGTTTACTTTTGCATATACGCACAAGTTGCTCGCGTGTAGGAGCGTAACCATTCCTGTCGTGGATTATTACACCGGGCGATAGAGAACGAGACTCTCGGCACGTTTTTCCTCTCCAGCACCCCCCTGTATATCGATTCCTGATCTGATGATTCTTCTTAATTGCTCGACTATCCCCCTCGTACTTTTTTTAATTTGCAATTGGATGATTGTCACTTCTTTCTTGAATAATATCGTGACTGGTTGATTCGATTTTAAGGATATGAGTCTGGGGGAACAATACTGTTTTCGTAATTAATAGACAGAACGGAAAGGAGTGGTAAAACGGTGCGATTACGATACATACCGGGGCCCTCGTCATTACAAATATACGATTTAATCCGCGTGCCAACGATCATCGCGATGGCGGCGCGTTTCTTCCTCCACTTCATTGTTTGGAATTATTAAAGACCCGGAACACAGTGTAACGATCCGGGCCACGGACTCGTTTAATTACCACGCTTCCTTCGATCGTCTACGAAACTGCGAAGTCCGTGGAGTGAACCACCTATGAAACGATAGAGACTCTTTCGAGCCTCGTGAGATATAACTGTAAAACGTATACACATAACTGGCCAGGAATTCGCAACCATACGCTAATATGCTGAAAAAATACCCATAGGCGATCTATGTATAAGATTTCATATACAGCTCCCGGAAGATTTATTTGTCCATGGATCGTAAAAATGGAGGAAGCGCTGGTGTACAGGGTATTCAAAAAAATGTGGAACACTGTGATGGATTACTCTGTAAATTGCAGTCGTTGTACATAATAATACCTACTCAACGATGCTATATAAGACGCAAAATGTTATATAACATTCTTCTTTCTGTTTTTTTAACAACTTTTATAACTTTGCTATATGTATAGCGTAGACGCAGCTTTAGACTCTGAAACAAAGCCTCGAATGGAATTTCATTAGTCTTGATTTTTATCTCAATTTTCCACGTAGAATCCACCCATCCTGTGAATGTGTCCCATAGTTTTTTTTAGCACTCTGTATAACCAGGCGTGTAGAAATCTAGAAATATACATAAAGCACAGATCCATCGAAACGTCCCGGTAACGTGTTTGGTCGCACGGGTCTACACCTACAAAACCGTTTCCAGGAGGGGGGGGGGTGTGGGGGAACAGCAGCAAGTCTATTTGTTGAGAGGCGCTTGCTCGCGCCGTTGTTGAAGTAGAATCTCTCGAAGAGAAACGAACGATGAGAGGGGTGGCGGTTCGATTGGGACACGCGATATATTACGTTCCTTGGCCACGTATATGTATACGTGCTGACTGCTTCTCCATGCATAAGTAGACGCACTGCATAAATAGCAACGCGAGAAGAGAGAGAGAGAGAGGGGGAGGTGTGTGTGTGTGTGTGTGTGTATGCGTATGCGTAAACCGTGTATGCACACGCAGACAGACGTTGAAACATAAAGAGTGAAAAGGACGGATATCGGCACGTGAGTAATGCGAGCACGCGCGTTTTAACGATTTCTGATGTTTCTAATTCTTCTATTTTTTCTACCCACTGCTTCCTTGTTCGGAGCAGTCAAAAGAGCCTCTCCTACTCGACCGAACTATAAACGGCCTTTAGAACCAGGGAGCAGTGAGATCCATTCTACCCTTTGATTCTCGGAACCTCTCTCGTCCCGTTTGCCAATTCTTTTTCTCCTCCCAGTTCGAGACGTCGCTCGCGAACCTATTCTCGAGGTTGATTAACATGAAGAAAACGCGCGTCCGGTCTTCTATTACAAGTGACGTAACGGCAGTGTTCCTGTAAACTGTAAACGTTTACACAAGTTTTTTCTTTATCGAGCGGTATGGTAGCTGACGTCAGCTTGACGAAATAGAGGACAGGGTTTGCGATTGTTTCTTCGGCAGAAGCTATACTAATAATGTCTAGAATAGAATCTCTTGTAAGTTTACCCTAGTGGCGATCAGTACACCACATGGCTTGTCTGAGATTTTTTTGGCACTACTGCTTGGAATATTCATATTTTGTTCTGTCAGTTGTATAGGTTCGTTAGAAAGAATAATAATTTGACTTTGCCAGGTTAATATTTCTGGTTGTTGCATTTATAAATAATCTATTTTAAACTATTTTATCGAGACACCAGCCATACCTACGCGAGTAAGCTTAACCTCTTGAGGGATACTGGCACGTATGTGTACGTTTAGATGAAAATGTAATTAACTATTCACTAGGAAGTTCCCCAACAAAAAAGTATACTCTACCAATTGATTGTCGTTGGTATATATTTTTATAAAATACAGCTGAACAATAAAACAAGATTCTTTCTGGTCTTAATAAATTCGTCCCTGAAAAGGTTAAAACCCGCGGTGGTCAGTGAATTAGCCCATTAAAGACCAATGTCATTTTAATAATACCATTTTATTTGGAATTTTGTTTCAGTCGATTTGCATTATTGAATTGTTTTCTAACATTGTGAAGAATATAAAACCTTGACAGAAGATCACCTTGGAGCCTCGAGTGGATCGTAGAAAATAGTTTCAAACATTTTTTTTTCAGAAGGGCTAATACGTACGAAATAACTGTAGACCAGTTGGTTCCACGGAG